TCCTTGCAAAAATTCAAATAAGATGACTATAAAGGATCACTTCAGAAGCCTGCTATCTTGCCCATTAATTTTCCCCGGCTCTTTACAGGTGATGGATTGTTTTGTTGGAGTTTGCTTCTTTGCTTGGTTGGATACTGTTAGTGATTTTTGGATTAGTTCTGATAGCTTTAGCTTTTTGGTTTGTCCATGGTGAGTTATATGATGGTTTGTGGGGTTGTTGAAGGGTGCAAAGTGTGATGTTTAGATGATATAGTGTTCTATTGTTTGGAGGAATCACGACTGATAATGATTAGAGTTTGGTTAATTACTAGAAGAATTGGATATGAATCATGAATACTCTAATTGGAGATTGATTCTATGTATCTAGATTTTATAGGTATATTATGGTACATTGATTTAGTTGGTCCCCTTGGAGAACTATGTGGCTCCCCATGGTCACCTTACAAACTTCATTCTTCTCATTGTCTATAAGACTAGGCTTGGTAGGGCTTGGAGATGCGGCTTGCCTCTATAGGAACTGTTGTTATGAGAATTAACTTTGGTTTATGTTGATTGCTGACTACATATATTGACAACGTCTGAAGTAATTGCGATGGCTTGCGCAATTGAAAGCTCAACAATGAAGTAGTTTCAGCTCATGCCTTCAATGAACACTGAACGCTCTGCAACCACAAAGAGGTATTGGATTAAAACATACAGTGAGCTTTGTTCAATTAACGGACTCATTCTCTGAGCTTCTCTCCGGCTTTGATGGTGTGTGATTTCATTGTAAGTTTCACATGTCAAAGTGTATGTAAGTGCAGCAGTATCCTTTTAATGGTGCAGGTCAAAGTGGTTCCTTGGAGGTTGGAAGGAGAGGGATTGGTAGGAAGAAAGGTTCGAGTGATGATGCTGGTATTCTATAGGATTGCAGGCTGTTGATAAGTGCACCAGTATCCTTTTCATGGCACAAGAGAACCATTGAATAACCTGCTGAAGTAAAGAAGACAACGAAGCATATTGAAAGACATATTAGTTGAAATGAGTGTAACCTTCCACTATATATCATTTTCGAACTCTGTGTGAATAATGAGTATCGAGTAAAGATAGTGGCACGAGTTCGATGGCTTATGTATTTACGGTATCTTGAGAACACTCAATCACTTGAAACTGGAGAAAGAGAGGCTATGTGTGAATAATGAGTATCGAGTAAAGATAGTGGCACGAGTTCGATGGCGTATGTATTTACGGTATCTTGAACACTCAATCACTTGAAACTGGAGAAAGAGCCGCTACCGGTGGCTTCCGTTTGCTAAGAGTTTCATTCGCTAATGTGATGCTGAGACCTTGACCTCTATTTGATGAGGTGATTACAGTTTGCCTTTTTATGCTCCTAAAATTGTTCTATTTTGTTTTGGTTGTTTGCTCTAATTTGAGGTCTCATCCATGGTATTTGGGTTGGTGATTTGCGTTTTCATTGTAATTCGGTGGATTACAGGATTTATTTCCTAATGTTGCTTTGTTATGATGTTGCGGTTTGATAGAATAAAATGAGTTTATGGTAAGGTCGTGCTTTAATCAAAATTTTGTTTGATTTTAATAATCACTTTGGTCAGTCAGCTTTTTATTTTAGTTTTTTCCTACTACTTCAAGCTTTATATGGATATTTTCAGTAAGAACGCAACATACGAAAAAGTCAGATGGTGTGCTTATGACAAACACCACTTGCTAGAAACATAAAAACTCCCTGATTCTAGGTGGACACTAATTCTGCTTGACAACTGGAAGAGTTTCGAGTTGAAGGAAGAAATTGTACAAGGGATGGTTGTTTCGGCTAGATCATCACTCAGATGAGGTGAGACGATTATGTTTACTTAATTACACCAACTGAGTTGAATCACTTAATTCCATGAGTAATAAAACATAATTATGAAACAAACCAAATTTAGCCCCATAAAGTAATTTAATGTTGGATAGATTGTGAGGGGTTTTGCGAATTGTTCCTCTGATTTTGGTATGTTTTCAGGAGATTTGTGGCTTGATACAACAACATGCCACTTTCAAAAATTCATACATGAAGTCGCTGGGTTTTCTTGCAAATGCATAACCCGTTCTTTCGATTTTTTCAGGCCACAAATACCGGTATTTGTAGACCTAATTATTGGGTTGGGTTTGCCTCCTCATATAAGCTGCCTTAATATTACTAGGCCAATGTGATTTTAGCTCCTACGAATGTAACCTTGGATGTGAAGAATATAATACGCCTGTTTCATTCTTTTCCTGGGTATACCTCACTTTGGCAAACATATGTCTCCAACCATCATTATTATACTCATTAAAATTCACCGAATTCATCAACACTTACTTCCGTCCAACGGGTCGGGCTATAGCCGAATAATCGTTAAACTAATCTACATTACTTAAAAATTACTCTCAACTCTTTAATAATGTATTGAATAATTTATTAAAAATGTCCAAAATCATTTGAAAATATAATAAATTTGATTATTATGAAGTAGATAAATAAGATGAATTCATCCGACCTACGGGTCGGGTAAAAGCTAGTCTACACAATAAATAAAAGCCAAATGAGAAAACTTGAAGCCCCATTTCAAATTTCCTGCATCCAGAGTGAAAGTAGGAAGGACATTTTGGTCTTCACAATTACTTTTTTTTATTCATTAAAAAGACACTTACTAGGATTCGAACCATGACCATTTTAAAGAAAAACAAAGATCATAACCAATCACACTAAGTACATTTGTTGTATCTTTTTAAATTAAAAACATATAATTGCAGAGAGGAAAAAATCTTCCCCCATTTAAAATTCTCTGCTCCAGGAGCGTTTGTAGGAAGAGTAGAATAGGGAGTGTCAATTTTTTTCTTTTTCCTCTGTGGAACGGGCCAACTTACCGTACACATGCGGATTTAAACGGGTCCAGGAGTGTCAATTTTTTTCTTTAAGTCCTTTTATTTCTCCATGGTGGTAAAATATATATATATATATATATATGAAAAGGCAAAATCAATACTCCTTTTTATTGCTAAAAAGAAAAAAATTAACAATAAACTAATGCATGGATTCTAATGGGCTAACCACTAATCATAAAATAAAAGAGTTGAACGGGTCTGACCTACATGGGATTTGCCCATCAAGTAAAACAAATGAACATCATGGGTTTGCCATTCTAAAACAAGCTATTTTCTCTAGCATAATATATACTATGCTATTATTTTATATCTTAGTGGCTAAAATATAATGTATTTTAAAGTTATTCAATGGTTCAACTTCGACCAACTCAATTAGTCCAATTTTTATCATTTCAAATATATATTATGTAATTATTTGATATCATAATGATTAAATTATAGTGTATATTATAGGGAATCGTTTGGTATTTGTTAGTAAAAAACTAAACAGAAAGATCTATTTGGTTATTTTTAATATTAAAACGATCCTAAACATTTTCAGTTTCCTTTCGAAATTCTATAGTTTTATTCCCGAATCAGTGATGTGCAAATGGTGAATTGCAGTCATCTCTTTTCTTTCATTATTTTTTATTTTCAAATATAAAGTTTAAAAGTAAAGAATAATTAGAGTTTGGCATGGGTTGGTCAAACAAGCTGAATTTCAAGTTTTGGCCCATTTTGATCAAGTCTAATTTATAATCACATGGTTCTCTGATACCCTATAAAAATCTCAATCCAAACCAGTTTGGCAGGTGAGTCCGTGTTTACCACCATTTTCTAGGGATACAGGAACGGTGGTTCCTATTCATTCTTGATTTCTTTAGATTTTATCATGGCTTGGCAAAAAACCAGAAAACACAATGATGAGAAGATGAAAATTTATAAAGCAAATTAATCGGCCAACGGGCCGAGTAAAAGCTAGCAACGATTGTGAGATGCTCATTTCCCGAAAATCGGCTGGATATGCGATTTTTTATTCGATTTTCTGGAATTCGGTTTCTATAAAACTTACTCCACCTCATCATATTACCAGAAACAATATTGTTTCACAAGGTAACATGTACTTGATTTTGGTTCATAAGGCTGATTTTTGATTCGTTGCATCATTCATGTCTCTTTTCTACTAAAATTCACTATTTTTATCACGTGTTTCCCAAAAAAAAAAAAACTATACAACAATAAGCTATACACCCCATTACATTATCAAATTTCATACCTCATCTTCGTTCGGCCAAATGGTCGGGGCCACGCTAGTATTAAGTATAGTATCAATATAAAAAAATCGCAATTTACAAACGATCTATGAAGGGAGCCTACGGGACAGAAAGCCCAATAAGTAGAAAAGATTTGTCCTTCAGTAGGCCTAATTATGAAAGCCCACTCTGGTGGCCCAAACAGAGGCATTCCAGCAACAGTTTGGACTTTGGACTTGGGGGCACAAAACGACATATGAAGTCGTCGGATTAGCGTTCTACTTGCTGCCTAGGGTTTACATTGCATCACCGTCCCGTATATAAAGCTCGGGAAACTCCGGTTGAATGGTTTTAGGGGGCAGAAGAATCCGTTTCAGAAGGAAGGAAGAAGACAGGCTTAGCTTGGCGGAACAAAATGGTAAACCCTAATTTCATCTTCTCTCCAAACCGCAATTTGTGTGTTCAACGTGAGATTACAATTGGGGGTTACGAATACTTTGCTTTACTTGTGCTAGAGCATTGTCATAGCTTTGATTTTCTTCGCCTTTGTGTTTATGTGTTCTTCCTTCCTCACGTCCTCCAGATTTAGAACCCGAGTAGCCTACTGTGGTAGTTCCTTGGAAACCCAGAAAGTCAGTATTTTTATCTTGTTTTCATTTTGGGTCGAAGGAAATTCTTGGCTACTATAGTCTGGTGTCCACCTTGATGCGTAGTTGATACAGGAACGATACACAAGAATGATGGTTGGTGTCCATTGGATCCCAAGCCATGTGCCTGAAACTAATAGCCTCTGTTATATTTGGCAGCTAAGTTTTGTGTATGATTAGCTGTTTTAAGTTCTGCAGCTGCTTTTGATAAATGGTAGGTAGCATTAGGCAACTTGATGCTGTTTAATAGATCAACAGAATTAGGTAGCAAATGGTTCCTTGTCTATCTGGATACTGTTGTGCGTAGGTTATGGAGTATTTCGGGCACATTTTCTTTTGGTGGGATGTGTTCTAGTGATTAGTGAACATTGTTTGACAGCGTTTACTGGTTGCTTGTTGTGATGAACAGCCAAAGCAGATTCATGAGATCAAGGACTTCCTTCTCACGGCCAGAAGGAAGGATGCACGCTCTGTCAAGATCAAAAGGAGCAAAGATGTAGTTAAGTTCAAGGTCCGGTGCTCTAAGTACCTCTACACCCTCTGTGTCTTTGACAACGAGAAGGCTGATAAGCTCAAGCAATCTCTTCCCCCGGGTATGGACTCTTCCTTTGGTTATTCTAGTCTCGATAGTTCTTTATATTTTCTCTGCTTTACATACATCTGCGCTCAGTTTTAGTGACCCAATAGCACTGTTCTGTCATTGGTAACTCATGTTTTCCCTAGAAAACCAAAATTCAAGTGGTTATGTGGTACTTGCCACCTGCTGCATGTGCTGTGTGTGATTTATCTAATCCATATCTGTTACTGTGTTGCAGGTTTGAGCGTGCAAGACCTTTGAAGAGATGAGCTTAAAGACAGTTTTTAGAGAGGTTTTATCAACTGTTTGTTGCTCCATGAAATGACATTGTGATTCATGGTTTTTGTTTGTTAACTCTTTGGAGATTGGGCTTGAAATTGCAGAACTATGTAGCCAGTATGTTGCATGACTCGGTACAAGTTACACCAATTGCAGTAGTGCATTGAGTTGTTACAGTGATCTATTGCTCCTTTTTAGTTTCTACGAAATTAATGTTGATTGTGGAACAGTGATTATATTGAAAGCCTTTGTTAATCTGGAGGAAAATAGGGCTGTCAAGGTGTCTTACTGATCACTGCAGTAGCAGCCGCTAAAGAATGTTGGTCTGTGGCTGTTAACAGCCAGCGATTGACTTATGGCGAATGCAGCATATACCTTTAACAGGTTTATATCAGTAGATAGGAGGAAAATGAAACACGGATTGGAGTTTGTTTTTGCTGCAAAAATGCCACGCTAACTAATCAAGTAGTTCGGCCATGGAAGGACTTTTTTTTTTGGTAGAATTGAAGTCAGGTTCGGTGTGAACCAGTCTAGTTATCGATTTGGTTCGGTGTGGTCCGGTATGGACCAACTCGTTGCATACCCCTAGTCGCTAGATAAAACTGATAGCCGGGCTCCTTAAAGTTCCTACCAACCGAGCAAAATGCAAATAGCCGATCTTCCAAACAGTCATTGAACAGCAATCGACCCATTCTACAAACCGGTAAAGCCCATTTCAACCCAACCCCCAAACCCAACAAACGTCAACTGTTTCACGTTTTTCCTTTTCTTCCAACGTAACATAACAGCGTTTCACTTCACTTGCTGCGTTTCTTTTCTTTTGTGCTTTGCCAGTTGCAGTTCTATCCAAAACTGCAGCAGGAAGAAGGGGACTCTCATCTCATGTGCACCATATCCCCATCCATGGAGGCCCTGGTTCGCTCTTCCTTCACTTCGTTTGGTTCAGCCCTCAAACCCTCTCCCCCTCGCTATAAACCACCAACATTTCTGGCGCAAAGATCATACCTTTCTTCCTCAAATCCCTCCATTTTGAACGCTTTATCAGCGCCGTCTCGCTTCCTTCAATCCGGTATGGTGGTGGCAGCTTTCAGCACTCGCATCTTTCTCTTGCCGCCTCCGACTGTTCTGCAGATTTCCCCTTGTTCGTCTCTAATTTTCGTGGGAATGGAATGAATTGCAGTTATCCAAGCTGCACCAGAGGGTCCAACAGTGGAAGTTGGCACAGAGACGAGAGAATGGGCAATTCAAGGTATATTTGCTTTGCCCTTCGAGGAGAAGGTTTCTCTGCTCACAAGTCACAAGTCCTTCCTTTTCTGATGATGTAAGAAAGCTCTGCTCTCAGTTTTAACAACCACTTGATAGTTGATGATGCACGTCGGTGTTGGTATTTTTCATGTAGACTTTTACAGCTTAAGAAAAGAAGTGGAAGCTGCCTCCGAGCGGGCTGAAGACATTAGAGCCTCTGCTGGGCTGCAGCAGTTGGAAAAAGAGCTCGCTGATTTGGAGTCAAAAGCAACCGATAGCTCCTTTTGGGATGATCGAGCGGAAGCTCAGAAAACCCTTTTGGCTTTAACTGATGTCAAGGATAATATCAAGTCGCTCACTGACTTTAAAACCATGGTCTAAACCTCACTGCACTGCCTTTTCTGTTTGACTGAATTCTCAATATAGCATGATTTCTCAAATTAGTGCAATATTATCTCCTTACAATCCTTTGGCCTGGATACAGGTTGAAGATGCAGAAACTATAATTAAGCTGACAGAAGAGATGGACTCAATAGATTCTTCACTCCTTGAAGAAGCTACCTCTATCGTTAAAGAGTTAAATAAGGCATTGGATAGGTATGAGGTGACTCAACTGCTTTCTGGTCCGTATGATAAAGAAGGTGCTGTTATATCTATCACAGCTGGTGCTGGAGGCACTGATGCGCAGGTAAAGACTTCTCCCTTCTACAGTTGGTGTGTGATGGAATAAATTTTCTGGACTTCAGAGAGGCCAAAACCATCATCTGTCATCGTTCATCTTCGGGTTAACCGTTTTCAATACCCTGCTTATTATTTTGTCCTGCCGATAGCTTGGGTTTTGAAGCATTAGCTAGTAGTCTTAACTCAGATTCTGTAGCCTCAAGTAAGAAATTCGTAGTGAAAGGCTTGATAACTCTGCTTGATAGGACCTAAGAAATTGCAAAATCTTGATGGAAGTTTGATTCTATTTTGCTAGTAAGCACTGAATTTCCTTTCCCATTTTCTTCTGCAAAAATGTTTCATGATGTCCAGTGCAGGACTGGGCTGACATGCTTCTTAGGATGTATGTAAGATGGGGAGAAATTCAAGGATACAAAACAAAGGTGGTTGAAAAATCACCTGGAGAGGAAGCTGGCATTAAATCTGCCACGGTTGAAGTTGAAGGCCGTTATGCTTATGGTTACCTCTCTGGGGAGAAAGGAACACACAGGATAGTGCGACAGTCTCCTTTCAACTCTAAAGGTCTTCGCCAGGTAACTAAACTTCTAGATTCCCTTCTTGTTTGCCTCACATAGGATATTGTAGAGTACTAGAGTTGACTTCGGCTGTCTGTCTTAAGTAGATTGTCTTCCAAAAATATTAGATCTTAAGCATATGTTATGGAGGAAACAGACATCAAAGTTGCATATGTAGATCACAAACGCCATGACCACTTCCTGCATTAAACTGATTTTTCAGTATGCACATTGTGAGAACAAAGACCACTAGAATCAAAATGCTGCAACAACAGTATGCTCTGTGTTGGTGGAATCAAGTTTTTATGGTCTTCCCTAATTCGTTTCCTTTGTGCATATATTGTCATGTCTCGTTCGTGTTCCTTAATTCCTGACTGTAATCTTTGAAAATCAGTTTCCATTATGTCAATGGACTATTATGGAAATCAATATAATCGTCGTGCATTGCTTATACAACCAAGATTTATTATGAAACTTTGAAGTTAAAAAACCCAGAGAAGGAAATGATTTGAAGATGTACTCCCAGCAGTTGAACCCGGAAAAAGCTAGACAACACTCAATAGGCTGCCTGTCTCTTTTCTTCCTTTTTTGGTAGAAGCTGCCTGTCATTTTGAACAAAGGTCGCGTTGTAACTTGTAAGGCCAAGCAAGTAATGTAAAGTGATTGTGTAATGCACAGACAAGCTTTGCAGGCGTGGAAGTGATGCCTCTTCTTCCTGAGGAATCACTCGATGTTGAAATACCTGAAGAGGACCTGGAAATAAGCTTTACCAGAGCCGGTGGAAAAGGTGGGCAGAATGTAAATAAAGTTGAAACTGCTGTCAGGATTACCCATATCCCCACTGGTGTCTCTGTTAAATGCACAGGTGCGTTCTTTTAAACTTCACTTTGGCCTTCTTTTTTTTGCACTTGAACCAGAAGGTATTATTTTAGCAATAAAGTAGTAGGTATTCTATGGACCAATCTATGTTAGATTCCCCTAAACGCTAATCTGCCTGCTTTTTACAGCTCTAATTGATTAGGCATTGTTTCTTTGGTCTGCAGAGGAGAGATCCCAGCTAACAAACAAGATCAAAGCGCTTAGTCGGTTGAAAGCGAAACTGCTAGTGATTGCAGAGGAGCAAAGAGCCTCTGAGATCAAGCAAATAAGGGGAGATGCTGTGAAGGCCGAGTGGGGACAGCAGATAAGAAACTATGTCTTCCATCCCTATAAGCTTGTCAAAGACGTGCGCACAGCGTTTGAGACCTCAGATATCACTTCTGTGATGGATGGTGAATTGGACTCCTTCATCAAAGCATACCTCAAGCACAAATATGCTCTATTGATGTCTAGCTAATGGGCAGATTCTTCTCGTACATGTAGTCGTAGAACAATAATCAATCATCGGCAACAAGACTGGCATCTGTACTATATATGCTTTTCACTTTTCATTTTATTGCTAGGGTTGTCATGGTTGGCCATATGTATGAATGAGCTGCTGATGACACATTCCAGAATCACTTACTGTAATGAAGGCTATCGTAGCTGTACTTGCATGAGTCTTCCAAGCCGAGGAAACTTCACATTTTTGCATCAAGCTCTTCATAGATTCAAACCAATCTCGTCTCCAACTCAAACCGTCGACATTTTCTTTCATATGGTGTCAGGTTTATATTTTCATGATAGAACTATGGTATTGAATTAGTCCTTCCCTTCTTTCATAGCTTAACTACTATGGTTGCATCATCACCTTCTTCTCATAAATATAGTCCCCAGTTACAAACCAGAAAGTTGCTGCAGTAGCTGGTACAGGACAGAACAACGAAATGGAAGGTGTAACAGTGAAAACGAAAAGACAAGAATGGATAGAGGAGGGTAGACTTCTTTAAAGAGTAGTAGGGAGGAGTGAAGAGAGGAGACTTTATTCTCCTAATTTTCGAGTGAAGTAGAGAGAGTGAGAGAGTAGACCCACCACCAGTAGAGGTGGCAATTGGATTGGATTTATGGATTGGCGGATTGGAATGGTAGATCTATGGAACAAGTAAATTGGATCAAGTGGATTCATGGATTGGTGGATTAATCCATGGATTCAAATAACATCCAAGTGTTGGACCAAAATGTAAACTTTGAAAAGTTAAGCTACTAAAATGTCATAATAAAGAATTTTGGGAACCGAAATGTAAATTTTCAATGGAACTTTTTGTATGAAAAATACATTTTAGGCACCAAAATATAAAATATAAAAAGGGTAAATGACACATTTGGTCACTGAGATTACTAAATTGTGTCATGTATAGTCACTAGAAAAAATTAATATCAATTTTGGTCACTCGAATTACCGAAACTGGTCAAATTTAGTCACTCTCCCGTCAGTTTCCGTCCAACTCCATTAATGTAGTTCGACGGAAACTTTTGGGAGAGTGACTAAATGTGACATGTTTCAGTAATCTGAGTGACTAAATGTGACATTTTTCAATAATTCGAGTGACCGGAGTTGGACAGAGGCTACAGAAGAGTGACCAAATGTGACATGTGTCAGTAATTCAAGTGACCAAAATTGATATTAAATTTTTCTAGTGACCAAATATGACACGATTTAGTAATCTTAGTGACCAAATATGTCATTTACCCAATATAAAAATATAGGTACTAAATTGTAATTCCATTTGGATCCATAAATCCAATTAATTTTGGATAAAATGAATTGGATTTGTTGGATATTTAAGTGGACTGATTGGTGGATTGGATTGAGAATTGTCACTTCTATCCACGAGAGTAAACAAGAGTAGAGAAGATCAATCAAGTCATACAGAGAAGTGGCAATGAAAATTTTAGTTAAAACCGTACAATTTCATCAATATATGATAAATATGTATTAAATATGTAGCAAAAATATGATAATTCTTAATAAAATACAAATGCATGTGTATAATCAGATATTTGTATTGGATGGTTAAAAACCCATGTCCATTCATAGGCTAATTAGTGTATTATCATTTGATGGATTGAACCAATTGATGTATTAGGTAAATATCTTGTTTGGAGGTTAAGATTGTGTTTTGTTCCAAAGGTAAAAAAGTTAGTATTGAGTGATTGTGAAGAATCTCAACAAAAAGTAGAGATTGTAAATCCCTCAATATTGAGTGATTGTGGTAGGGCCTCCAAAAAGTAAATGCATGTATTCTAGTTCTATATAAACCAAAAAAACGACTTAATCTCACAAATACATGAATTAGATCAATACACCATTTGAAATCACAACTTCCAAATGACCCCTAAGTTCAGGTGACTAAGGGGGTCCTTTAATCATATGGTTAAGTGAATCTCAACCCTTACACCTCATTAAAATCTAATGATTCAAATTAATTCAATTGAATGAAGGACATGCTAGTAATTATACATTTCTTTATTTGAAAATTGAAATATAAAATATACTGCCGGTCCGTAATTCCGCATCCCTCCCTCGCATTGCCACCGCCGGATAGGGATTTGCCGGCGTTCCTTCCTGGCGCCGGTCCCTAGCGATGCAGAGCTCCTTCTGCTGGGAACTTTACCCTTCCCTGGCGATGGTGAATGGAAAAGGGAATGGGGAATTTGATGAGAGAGAGAGTTTTCGTCGACAAGAATTTCCCGACGCCGGCGAGAATTTTCGGCGGTGACGAGATTTTTCTGACGACAGCGGTAGTATTGTAATGTTTTTCGTTCTATTTTGTAATATTTGTAAGTCTGGTTTGTAATGTTTACAGACAATTCGGTTTGTATTGTTTGTTATTTTTGTCTATTATATTTGTAATTTTTATATATCTATTTTGTACTGTTAGTATGCTACTATTTGTCTGTTTCTTTTGTAATGTTTGTAAGCTTTGTTATTTTTTTGCACCATGTTTATCATTTTTGTCAACCATGTTTGTAATGTTTTTTATGCCTAAAAAATAATCTGGTTGATTTTTGAGTGAAACTCCTCTATATAGAGATGAAGCCTCCAAAGTCAACCCGAGTGTTTTTCCAGTTTGTATGGATTGTCGGTCTAGTTTGTCATTTTTGTCCACCATGTTCGTAATATTTGTATGTCTAAAAACAACCGGGTTGACTTTGAGACGGAACCCTCTATATAGGGATGGAGCCTCCAAAGTCAAACCGATTGTTTTTTTCCTTTTTGTATGGTTTGTATTGTTTTTCGATCTAGTTTGTATTGTTTGTACAATACAGTTCATACGTTTATAATGTTTGTAAATCTGTTTGTATGTTTTGTCTTTGTAGTTTGTACTGTTTATATGGTTTACTGATTGTAAATCCGATTTGTATACTTCGTAATTTTCCATAATACCCAAACTACCCCTGTCATTAATTAAATAGCCCTTCCCACTTTTTAATTGTCAGATTGTTGTGTCCAGATCTAAGGGCTGAGAGGGGCTTAGTCAAGTGACTAAGCACCCCCTTAGTCACAGGATCCGGACTCGTCCATCCATCACCCGCGATATTCAAATTCTGAGTTTTATATACCCATTATAAATCGTTAACCTTTGAATCTTAACGTACACGATTAGATAAATTCGAAAAAAAATACGCGTTTATTTTTGGGGTAAATGACACATTTGGTCACTGGGATTATTAAATTGTGTCATGTTTAGTCACTAGAAAAAATTAATATCAATTTTGGTCACTCGAATTATCGAAAACTGGTCAAATTTAGTCACTCTTCTGTCAGTTTCCGTCCAACTCCATTAATGTAGTTGGACGGAAACTTTTGGGAGAGTGACTAAATGTGACATGTTTCAGTAATACGAGTGACTAAATGTGACATTTTTCAATAATTCGAGTGACCGGAGTTGGACAGAGGCTACAGAAGAGTGACCAAATGTGACCTGTGTCAGTAATTCGAGTGACCAAAATTGATATTAAATTTTTCTAGTGACTAAATATGACACGATTTAGTAATCTCAGTGACCAAATGTGTCATTTAACCTTTATTTTTCTGAATCGCTATTCCCGGCGGGGATGGTTGCAGACTGCAGTCACAGAGAGGCTGGCTGTCTAACTTTGTTCCGACAGTGCGGCGGCATCTCTGGAGAGCCGACATGGGAACGACGGACACGTTGTTGGAACCACGATGGTGATGGTGATGGTGTTGCGCGCCGCGGAGCTCGGATTTCCTATGATGTTGGGATTCTGCGTACACCAACATTTTATTTTCTCCTCTTCTTTCTGGAAAATTACCGAAGCATTCGAAACTTTCAAATTCTACAGTCCGGCTCCGAAAACTTGTTTGTGTCTTGCATTCAATTGAGCCCATTTGTACTTATTTTGAGCCCTTCTAGTGTGCTCTATAGCACCCATGCTATAAAAAACAAAAAAAAAAAGGTGACCTGTTGAGGAGGTAAACCCACTAAATGACTGGTCCCACATCATTAATGGCAATCTTGTAAATAATGAATCAATGTATACAAGTGTAGGTACAACTTAAAGTTGTACCATTAGTATAGGTACAAGTTTCAGCTGTACCATTGAAGAATTTGTTTCACAAAGTGTAGGTACAACTTAAAATTGTACCATTAGTATAGGTACAATTTTGAGTTGTACCATGAAGGGATTTATTAGAAAGTGTAGGTACAACTCAAAATTGTACCATATTATAGGTACAAGTTTGGGTTGTACCATTAAAGAATTTTGAGAAAGTGTAGGTACAACTTAAGGTTGTACCATTAGTATAGGTACAATTTTTAGTTGTACCATAAGGGATTTGTTAGAAAGTGTAGGTACAACTTAAATTTGTACCATGGTATAGGTACAATTTTGGGTTGTACCATAGAAGGATTTTTAGAAAGTGTAGGTACAACTTAAAGTTGTACCATGGTATAGGTACAAGTTTGGGTTGTACCATAGAAGGATTTTGAAAAAGTGTAGGTACAACTAAAAGTTGTACCATTAGTATAGGTACAATTTTGAGTTGTACCATAAAGAGATTTATTAGAAAGTGTATGTACAACTTAAAGTTGTACCATTAGTATAGGTACAATTTTGAGTTGTACCATAAAGGGATTTATTAGAATGTGTAGGTACAACTTAAAATTGTACCATATTATAGGTACAAGTTTGGGTTGTACCATAGAAGGATTTTGAAAAAGTGTAGGTACAACTTAAGGTTGTACCATTAGTATAGGTACAATTTTTAGTTGTACCATAAAGGGATTTGTTAGAAAGTGTAGGTACAACTTAAGGTTGTACCATTCGTATAGGTACAATTTTTAGTTGTACCTTAAAGGGATTTGTTAGAAAGTGTAGGTACAACATAAAGTTGTACCATAGTATAGGTACAAGTTTGGTTTGTACCATAGAAGGATTTTGAAAAAGTGTAGGTACAACTAAAAGTTGTACCATCAGTATAGGTACAATTTTGAGTTGTACCATAAAGAGATTTATTAGAAAGTGTAGGTACAACTTAAAGTTGTACCATTAGTATAGGTACAATTTTGAGTTGTACCATAAGAGATTTATTAGAAAGTGTAGGTACAACTTAAGATTGTACCATTAGTATAGGTACAAGTTTGGGTTGTACCATAGAAGGATTTTGAAAAAGTGTAGGTACAACTTAAAGTTGTACCATGGTATAGGTACAAGTTTGGGTTGTACCATAGAACGATTTTTTGAAAGTGTAGGTACAACTTAAAGTTGTACCATGGTATAGGTACAAGTTTGGGTTGTACCATAGAAGGATTTTGAGAAAGTGTAGGTACAACTAAAAGTTGTACCATTAGTATAGGTACAATTTTGAGTTGTACCATAGAGGGATTTGTTTGAAAGTGTAGGTACAATATTAAGTTGTACTATAGTGTATAGGTACAATTTTTAATTGTACCATAGAAGATTTTTAGGAAAGTGTAGGTACAACTTTAAATTTAGTGTAAAGGTACAACTCTAGAAAGTGTAGGTACATCTTCTAGGGCAAAAGCTAATGATCTATCTGGATCTTCTGTAGCTGTCCGTTCCTGTAGGGCAGCAGCAGGAAAATAATGGTGTGGAAGAAGGGTTTCATGGATGATACTATTTGGGAACAGAAGAATTCAGCTCGTGATGATGATGATGATGTACGTTCTAATTGAGGTTTCTGAATTTTATTTATTTCTCAATGTTATTGCTTCGACATATACAAGTATGTTTGTGATAATTAAGAAAAGGACCTTTTCCTGCTTATGTACTAATTTGTATTTACTTTGTATTTACTTTGTTTGCGGTACATAGATACAAAAGAATCAGAAGCAACTGATTGTTGCTTCTTCTATGGCACTGCCACACTGATACATTGAAAAAATTCAGCGCATGGAATCCCATGTCGTGACTTTACATGTCAAAATTCTAACTTCAGATATAACTCTCTGTGTACAATTGAGGACAATGGAAGCAAAGAATCAAGCAGCATCAGCTTTGGCCCACTTCCAGACGCTGACGACACCATTTGCGTCCCCTGTGAAAAACAAACCGTCAGGCCCACTTCGAATTGCTCTTACTTCCTTCTGTGAGTAAATCCTTCCACGCTCTTCGAGTGTTGGCAACTCGTATAACCCAACACTACAGTTGCTCCACGAACAGAACAAGACTGGTTTTCCTTCGGAATCATTCATCCCACCAAGAGCAACTGCAACACTTTCCTCTTCATGTGTGTACAAAAGGCTTATATCATCACTGTCATCTTCAGAGCAACCCCAGAACTTGACCTTCTTATCCAGTGAGCAAGACACCAGGGCCGTATTCCAGCAGATAACAGACGTCACAACACCATCGTGTTTGAATGCACTCCTCGGTGTTCAAATCCCACACCTTGATTGTCCCATCCATCGAACCAGAATACAATCTTCTATACAAATCACCATTTATGCTAGCTCTGAGGCAAGTAACTGCACTTCCATGGCCTTTTAGGGAAGTAGCAGGCTGCTGAAATTGGGGATCGGCCTGCTGATCAGCAAATCCTTTCCAAACAAAAATTGCACCATCTTCAGCTCCAGCATACAAGGCATCCAACCCAAACTCCAAGGCATTGACTTGACCATTTGAACTTGTGAGGTCATGATAAACCCCTAATTTAAAGTTCCATGCTTTGACACCATTGGGGTAACCAACAAACACCCAATCTCCATCGCTGATCAAACATCCGATCTTGTAGTCACTAACATTCGCAGTCCCGGCAAGCAAACCAGTATGGCAATCCCAAGCACGTACCACTCCACCACTGGTTGCTGAATATAGCTTGTCAGATCCTGCAGGGTACCCAATCCCAGAAATAGACTTCTTTTCACCGTCATGCTCTTCTTCAACTAGTCTTGCTAGCATTGAAAATCCATCTCCACGGCACCATGAGTGTAGGAATTGACAGCTCTCCCCTCTGCCACAGTTTCCAGACATCCAATCTTGACAACAACAGCCTCCTTCTTCCTTCGAAGCAGCAGATAACAGACGTCACAGCACCATCGTGTGCTTGAGTGTTTGAATGCACTCCTCGGTGTTCAAATCCCACACCTTGATTGTCCCATCCATCGAACCAGAATACAATCTTGATCCAGTTCTTCGAAGACAAACTCCCTTCCGTCGTCTAAGTTCCTAATCTTGTACATGAAATCCACCTCCGAAGCACCATCTTCAAACGACTCCCGAGCTTCAGCTGACTAGCAAGAAGTAGACCGCGACAAAGTGTCAGACCAGAGGTCGGGTTCATCAGAACCAGAAGTTCTCAACACTGCGCTGCTATCATCCATCACTCTATCAACTCCCAATTCGATCTTCTCGGGACTTTCCTTCCCAATTCCTTCACCGAACCCCGGTCGAAACTCGGATTCATCTATCCGAGGAACCTCCATCGCCGATCCTCTACGCTCTCCATATTCTTACCCCAAATCTCGAACTGAGAATTAGCGAAAACACCGTTGCCGTCGGAATCGGAAGCCCAATCGGAGATGGAAGAGACCTCTTCCCTAGTATCGAAGAATCCCTCCTCAGCACTGCAACTCTCCATCTATAGTGGGGAATTCCGACTCCCCCAAAGGAACCCTTAAGAATTCAGATCAAGTGATGTTGTTCCGCCTTTGACATGCCGCATGCGAAGTCGGGAGCTTTGAGAGTCGAGAAACGGAACCCCCAATCTCTTTCTTCTCACAGTGTCGCCGTCACCATCGCCCCTTGATGCAGGTTCGTTGTCGCCGTCGCCCTAATTCAGATGCAGATTCGCCGTCGGCGCCAATCAATCCCGTCACTATCGACGAAGAGACGCTCTGAAATCCCACCGCGGAAGAGAGGCTCTGAAACTCGACGAGGCTCTGGAACCGGTGCAACATGTTACCATTCCAACAGGTAAAAAAATAATAATTAAATAACTTTAATCCAATGGCTGATATTTTATAACAAGATCTAAGGGCTATAGACATAGTAAAGCACTCATACTATATAGCATACTAAAAAGCCTCCTTATTTTTATCATTTATTCATTAAAGATTCTCATTTCTATTTGTATTGGGTTAATAATAGCATGGTTGGTCACTGAGATTATAAAAAACGTTCAAGTTTGGTCACTCGAAATATTTAAATTCATTGGTGGTACTTCAGTTTACTGAAAACGTTCAGATTTGGTCACTCTCCGTCCAACTCCATTAACTTTTGCTTATGTGGCGGTCAACTCTAAAAGTTGACCGTTAAATGTGTGACGTGGCAAATTAAAATTAATAAAATTAAATTTTTAAAATTTCCATTTCATTTTCACCTCATTATCACTTTTATTTAAAATAAATAAAAACCCTTAATTTCTTCTAATCCCTAATGCCAATATCCCCACCAGCGCCGCGACTTCCATTGTTGAAAAGAAATCCGATTACTCTGTCCTCCGCGCCTCCGCCTCAAGCTCCCGTCTCTCAGCCTCCCATCTCCGATGATGGTCTTCTCGCTCGTCCTCCTCACCTACTTCATGGTCGTCTCCGGCATCGTCGAGCCGCCGGGAATCGGATCCACCCAGGACCCGGTCAGCGGCACCGTGCGGCCCATCGTCTTCATGTCCGGCCGAGTCAACGGGCAGTACATCATCGAAGGGTTGTCGTCAGCTGGTTTCATATTCGTCCTCGGTGGGATCGGGATCGTTCTCTTGGATCTTGCGCTGGACAAGAATCGGGCGAAGAGCGTCAAGGTTTCGTATGCCTCTGCTGGGGTTTCCTGATCCATTGTGTTCTCCTATGTTATGAGTATGCTCTTCATCCGCATTAAGATCCCACCTTATCTTAGGTGAATGTTGTCATAATGCAGTTTTCCTTTGCAATGATAGGGTGGTAGATTGAAAGTAGAGGGCTTTTCGTCGTTGTCTTCCATAACCAGATGAGCTGGTTGTTTGTGTTTATTGTGTGCAATTTGATCATTTTGGAATGCTAGAAATTAAGCAGAATGCTCTGCAATTCTAGGCTGGGAGTCCGCGACGAATCGTAGCTTGATCTGTAATCTTTTCTCCAACATTAAATAAAAGTGATAATGAGGTGGAAATGAGATGACAATTTTAAAAAATTTATTTTTATTATTTTTAAATTGCCACGTCACATATTTAACGGTCAACTTTTAGAGTTGATTGCCACATAAGCAAAAGTTAACGGCAAGGTTGTCAACCCGCGGGTTGACCCGGACCCGGTCGAGCTAGTGGGTCAAGGGTTAATGGGTCAACCGTTTTAGTCCGGTTTGGCCCGGAAATATAGAAAGAGTCATTATATTGCATTTATCCTCATAAATTATATCAAATCTTATCTAACATATGAGTTCTAACATATAATATTACACCAAAATAACATATTGTACTTAGATCCAAGATATAGTGAAAATTCACACACACTTATATAACATAAATATTCAAATGTTCAACTTAGTATTCCAAAAATTGAGTTAGGCGAAAAGAAAAATTGGAAAATAGGCGCATTTCGCAAACTAAAGAAAAAAATGACACAATTTGACTTCCAACCCGGTACCTAATAGCGGTCGACCCGGCGGGTGCGTGCGGCCCGTTTTTCTCACCGGGTCAGGGTTAAATTGGGTCGACCCGTGGGTCAACCCGCGGGTTGACAACCTTGGTTAACGGAGTTGGACGGAGAGTGACTAAACCTGAACAGTTTCAGTAAACTAAAGTACCACCAATGGATTTAAATATTTCGAGTGGCCAAACTTGAACGTTTTTTGTAATCTTAGTGACCAACCATGCAATTAACCTCATTTGTATTTATCTTAGAATTTATTTAAAACTAGGCAAAATAAACTTCTGTAGCCACAACTTTCTTATTTGTGACAGATATAGCCACAACTTTCAATATACACAAAATAGTCACTTCCGTCCATCCCTCTAACGGTGTCACTTAACAGTACGACTTGACTAATGAAAGTGCTGAGTTGGAGTTCCACGTGGATTAAGAAGAAGAAAAAAATACTTCCATAGCCATAACTTTCACGTTTGTGACAGTTATAGCCACCACTTTTGATATACACAAAATAACCACTTTCGTCAATCCCTTTAACGGTGCCACTTAACAATATGACTAGAGAAGGACGCCTTATTTTCCAAATTGGCGATTCAGATCCCCAATCGCTAGATTGAAGAAGAAGAATGCCTTGAAGGCTTGGCGGGGTCACAGAAAAACAATGTGAAAGAGAGTAAGAAGGCTGATGGGAAGAAGCTGACGACGACCGAGAAGAAGAAGGCATTGGCGGCGACAGTGAAAGAGGAGATAGTGTCTCCAGTGGGGACAGAGAACGATGGGTCGGGAAGGAAGGAACGATAGTGTCTCTAGTGGCGACAGAGAACGGTGGGCGATTCAGATCCCTCCAATTCCTCGTTATTGTTGCGGGAACAGTTGTTCTTGTTTCCGATGAAGCTCGATTTGTCGCTGTCAATTGTCCTGATTCGTTGCATTCCCTCTCAAACAGAGACCAGAGAAGAAATCAAGGACAAGGTCGCGACTGTTTCGTATATTTTAAAAGTTTGTAAATGAAATGACTAGATTTGTTAAAAAATCATAAATTTTTTTGGCTATTTCTTGCATTTCAAAAGTTGTGGCTATAATTGTCACAAACATGAAAGTTGTGGCTATAGAAGTGTATTTTGCCAAAAAAAATTAAAGTAAATTATGATGTGTCAAACAACTATCAAAATTCTGGTTATTTCGTGTATTTCAAAAGTTGTAGCTATATCTGTCACAAACTTTGTGAAAGTTGTGGATATGGAAGTGTATTTTGCATTAAAATTATTCAATAATTTTTTGGCAAAATACACTTGTATAGCAAAAACTTTCACGCTTTTGCCAATAATAGCCAATTTTGGCGAAATACCACTTATAGCCACTTCCGTCCAATTCTTTAACGGTGTCAGTTAATAAGCTGACTGGACAAACGGAAAAGAGACTTGGCAAGTTTCTCTATTAACAATCTTGTGATGGATTAATTTTAAAAAATAACAGTAAAAATTGAAAAGAAACGGAAAATTCTCCACCCATCTCCCCTAATTTTCCAAACCATCATCGCCGCCGAATCGCCGACGCTGCTTCCCTCTTCGCTCTAGCTCGGGGTTGCCCAGCCGCAATACCCTCCTCTTCGACAAGAACTCCATTATCCCCGTCGCGAGACAGAGGCTATTCCATAAAGGCGGCGGCGAGCTCCTCTAGGACCACTCGATCCAATCGTAGAAGCTGGAAGTAGGGAAGAAGAGGGAGAGGTGGGCGGGCTGTAGATCTAGCGGAACTGACCAGAGAAAGTCGAGCGGGCTGTAGATCTAGCGGAACTGACCAGAGATCTTGACATTCTTCTCGCCCAGCTTCTCCTCTGTCGCCTTCCGGGTTGTTCATAGTCGAATCTCGTCAATTTGGGTCAAATTCCAACACCCAGAAGGAAGGATTTGGCCATAACAGAAATTCGCCTCATCTCGAATCGAGGCAAGGGCATCTCCAACCCGTCATCCGCCACTCTAACGAACAATAATCTATCCTGGCTCTCTTCGACTCGTGGGGAATATTGTTCAGGGAGGAGAAACGATTGCTGGTTGCTGAGAAATCGTTCCATGAGCAGATCGGAGAGAGAAAAAGCAATGTTTATGTATTTTTATCCTTTTTTCCCCAGTTAGTCCCCAATTAGTGAGGGTCCGTGTCATTATTTTCCCCAAGAATGGTAGAGATTTTTTTATTTATTATATGACGTGTTATTATTCGCTTATGTGGTGCTGATGTGTCACTATATGCTTATGTGGCGATGACGTGTCCGCTGAGTTAGCGCCTTGTCAGCAAATCGTCAAATAAGTTGACGGTGTTAATAACACCGTTAAAGTATCTAACGGAAATGGCTATATTTGTCATACAACAACTTTAAAAACTGGCTATAAGTGGTATTTCTCCAAATTTGGCTATTATTGGCACAAACGTGAAAATTTTGGCTATACAAGTGTATTTTGCCTAATTTTTTTTACTTATACAAGAGAGGCCGTATGCAAAGAGGAATACGAGAAAAGGAGAAGAATCAACAGATAAGTCATACACCAAACTATACTTAATCACATACAAGTCGCACGATACCTAGAGGCTACCAAAGATCAGACTAAAAAAAGGGCCAATGTAGCCACAAGTGCTAATCAGGTTTGGCCAGGGTGCTATTACCATTGAAGTATCGATTCGCTCCTTCAATCTCTAGATCTTTCTTGCCAATTTGATGACGAACTAGGCATTAATCAACAGACAAGTTATACATCAAACTATACTTAATCACATACAAGTCTCACGATACCTAGAGGCTACCAAAGATCGGACTAAAAAAAGGGGCCAATGTGGCCACAACCCACAAGTGCTAATCGGGTTTGGCCAGGGTGCTATTACCATTGAAGTATCGATTCGCTCCTTCAATCTCTAGATCTTTCTTGCCAATTTGATGACGAACTAGGCGTTAAGTACTTTTACATCTTGCAAGGGTTATTAGAACTTATTACTTCACTTCCTCCGTGCGTTTCTTCTTCTTTGTCGTCAAAATTGTCGATTACTTGCATTCGCTAAAGAGTTCATAATATTATTCTACGATATCATACTAGATTATTATTATTATTATTATTTACAAACGATAATCACTTGTATTGATTGGATCAAAAGATATTACATCCTGGAGATCAGCCAGGCCTGAAAATCAAAATAACGACTCATAGCCGGAAATAAATCAAGGGCCTTTCTAGCCACCAAGTGGGTTACCCTATTGTTACTCCGACCTACAAAACGAACATTAAAAGCACTATGATCTGCAAACATTCCAATAAGCTCTTCCAAAACCGCCCCAATGTGGACATCATTCGCATCCCTCCTGATAATCTTATCAACGACAATCAGAGCATCACCTTGAAAACAAACGTCCTGCAAGCCCAACTCCAGACACCAAACTAATGCTTCCCGCAGGGCCAGCACCTCAGCCACCAAAGGGTTATCAAACTCCGGAAACTGCACGCCGCGTGCCAGCATCACATTCCCTGCGAGGTTCTTAATCACGATCCCTCCTGCCGAATGAGACCCAGGTTTGGTTGCCCCATCCCACATACAGGTAACTGACTGCACCATATTGGCCAGACCCGGAGGAAAGTGAGATGGGGTCCCACCCACAACCTGGTCCACGGGGAGCGTGACCCATTCTTGGTATTGCTGATAGTACTGTCGGAGAAGAGCAGTTATCCCAAATTGCTTCCCTTCAAAGACCACCCAATTTCAGGATCGCCAGATGCGCCAAAGGACGGCAACTACTGCCATAACCAGCTGGGGCTGATCGATAATGGACATAAACTTCTTCAAAAAGAGGGGGAAGGAGTGGCGAGGCAGCCCTTGACCAAGATGCCCCAACCCAGCCTGGTCCCAAAGGGCCTTGGCTACCCTACAATCTAAGAATATATGCTCCATCGTTTCCTTCTCAGCCCAGCAGACAGGACACCGAGGCTGAACATCAATGCCTTTCTCAATCAGCGCTTCAGTAGTTGGAAGAATTCTAAGGAACACTTGCCAAAGGAAAACTTTAAGTTTAGGGGGAATTTTCGCATTCCACAACCGAACCCAGCTTTGCTTATCCATCCAGCTAACCACAGATCTCCACCGCCCCTCCTGCTTATTCAGCAAAACGGCAAGATGATAGGCCGACTTAACAGTAAAGCTTCTATCAGCTGTCATATGCCAAATA